ACTTTCTACTTCTTGTCTTTTTTTAAAAAAAATGTAAGAAGTAAAAAGTACAGATAATTGTGTGAAAATAAGTAGAAGTAAAAAGTAGGCAGAAAAAGAATTACTCAAGTAAAGTACAGATACCCAAAAATTCTACTTAAGTACAGTAACAAAGTATTTGTACTTMGTTACGTTACAACTCTGACGTTTATATGTTTATGTAACGTAAATTAAGATGCAAGCTTTCATTGTTATAGTCATGATAATTTCACAATTTTTTTAAATGGTTTTATATTTTTGCTTATTTTTTATGTTTAAAACACCATTTACACACAGTTTGTATGAATGTGTCCACTTGGTTTTTCTGTTGTATTATATCGGCTTTATTGTAAATGAGGACGCTGCATCAACATGAGTTTAAAATTAATAAATAAATTACTCTGATTTCTTGTATTGTTTTTGAAGCAGACAGTTAAATGCACTACCTTTTTTTTTAGGTTTACCAGACACATTAGGTGTATTTGCGCAAAGTGTCAGTATCGCCGGTATCAACCTGAGTTTTACTCAGTATCAGAATCAGAAAGGAAATTGGTCGCTTCGAACGTCACTAACGCTCACGCTGATCCCACAGGTGGTCAGTGTGTTGAGGTCAAGCCTGCAGGTCATTCCATCCACACTGCTCACCAGTTCTGGAGGGTGGTCTCTGCTAAACGCCAGTCTGTGGGGGTGAGGGCTGTCATTTTGGAGGATAGATTTGATCCCAGAGGAGATATGAGATTGCCATTAGTTGCTCACAGGTGCTGACAATCAGGCGCCAATCAGCTACCAGACTGACGCCTGATTTGTCAGCACCTGATGTAGCTTTAAACTCAAAACAAGAGGCGCATTGCAGAAGAAGCTGTTTGGGCAGAGATTTGGAAAGCCTTTTTTTTAGGCATAAGACACATTCTCAACCCAACAAATGTGACATTATTTAGATTTGTTGCCACAACGTCTTACAACCAAGAATTATTAAGTCCAACACAAATTTCCTCCCTTTTTGTGCTATGTTTAGAAACAACACAAACCAAATCTGAAGCATTTTTACCTGTTCCTCTGCCTCTGCCATTGTCTGTATAAATATATAAGGCAGTCTCTCACTTACCTTTCAATGACAGGACTGTGAAATACAGATATTTAGCAAATCAATCATTAAAATGTGTTAGTACAGTTTTTATATGGGAACGAAATCTTTTTTTGATGCTGTTGTCAGCCAAATGTAAATCTCTGCTAACAAAGAAAACAGTTGTGAAGCTGTTCGTTTTGCTTTGATGGATTATTTGGCTTTCTGAGAAAACGTCTGCACATCTGGAAGGAATTAWTTGTTATTGTTTTACAAAAAAGGACTTTCCGAATCATTACTCAAATTGTTCCTTCCTTGATGTCCTCCTCTAAGATGCTTAATTACACACAGCTAATCACAAGCTGCTGCTAATCACTGATGTAACTCTTTTTGTTGAAATGTTTGTGCACCGCTGTCCAAACTGTCAGTTTTTGTTTTGTTTATAATTTGCCACTCTATTACCTGGTGTTTTCTTAGATTCACAGTAATGAAATTATTTCTTTTCYTTTTTTTAAAGTTAAGTTTAAGCTCTCATTTTTTGAAAGATTTAATACAACTTTAGAATATTTATGCATGGATGCTGATGGATGCATCCTAACTTAATCTAACCTTGGAAACCATATGTCTGGTTTGTTTTATAGCATACAAAGTTATTTCATTCTACATAAATTATGTTTTTAACAAGTTTAGTTCAACAGGTTTATTTTCTTCCAAGCAAAAATATTAAATACAGACTTTTTTCAGTTTGTTGCCTGACTGACAAGTTCTAGTTTACTTGATTCACTATAAATAAAGAGTTTAAAACACCTAAAATTACAGTGAAGTTAGCTTTGTTAAATAAAAAAATCACACTTCATTTATTTCTATAGTATTAAAGGCTCAATCATTTGAATTCCCTTTCTAAACTTAGTAGCTGAACATATTAAAAATTGTATTTAGGTGTTACTTAATACTTTTCATTGTTACATTGTTATGAATGAATTACTTTTTATAAAAAAAAATACACAAATAAAACATAAAATCACATGTTTAGTTAAAACACTTCTCAACAATTCTATCATATTTTTGGTTGCATTCTGTTTTTTAACTGAAATAAAAGAGCAAAAGTTGTGCTGAACTGCTATCATCTATCTGAAAAAGGCAGGATAGTGGTTTGACTTTAGTGTGTGGGAGTAAAATAATTGCTTTTTAGCTGCAAACACTTTTACAAACTGTGGTCACACACTGTGTATAGTTGCCACGGTGCGATTGTTCTGCCTGTTTCTCTCTGAGGGACGCATGAATCGGTAAATTCCTCTCTCTCTCTCTCTCTCTCTCTCTCTCTCTCTCTCTCTTTCTCTGAACGAATCAGAGTCCTGTAAATAGAGGAGAGACGGAG